ACGGCCACTCATAATCTCTGCAGAACTATAATGTTTACGATTATCAACCTCTTCGATATAATCAATCCCTTCTCATGAATCAAATGCTCTCATTAAAATGAAATAACACCAAATCAAAAGCACAAAAGAAACTCGTCGAATGAACAATCCGTCACGCAATCAACATTTACGGAATGAAAACAATTTCACTGTATGGCTGATAACTTACTGAAGAAACGATTACAATCGATCACATTGTTTGCAATAATCGACGGACAATCCAGCGAATTCACTAGCGGTATGAGACCATAACGAGATAAAACCCCATAGGATGGTTTGAAACCAAATGAATCCGTGAAGGCGGCTGGATTACGCGTTGATCCACCGGTATCTGATCCTAATCCCCTGAAAATATTTTCCATTCACTCTTTTTTTTGGCTGAGATTTTTTTCAAGCAGAAGAAATACAAAATGAATAATTTCGAATGCTTCTTTTATCAATCATCTTAAATCAACGATGGAAGTAAAGGAATGATAACAATAGTAGTGATTGGTATTATGATTATCTTGATGAGTATTTCCATAACGAATATCTAACTGAACTGAATATCAAAGAGACAGAAAACAAACATTTCAGCAAAGCCGAGTTGAACCGCAACTGCAGATCCACCAGAAGAGCCACCGGGAATGAGCCAATCTTGATCCAGTCTCTGCTCATCGCTCAGTCCATTCTTAACCGCACCAAAGTAACCTTGAGATGTTGACGTACCCATGCAAAATTCATCCATATTTGCTTTCCCTATTATACAACCACCTGAAAAATACCGGCAAGTGTCAATAACATTGCATTCAGCTCTCACCTAGATGTACTCTCGTGGCCAACTATCAGTAATTTCCTCATCCGAAATGAAATCACAACATCAAAAGGAATCATTCCGTTTACAAACTCTCCATCATATTATTGCAAACAACGATAAACTAACAAATAAAATCAACCATTCTCGACGATCCTTGATACGACTGTCGCTGTGTAAGGCGCCACAAAATTGGATAACATCTTTGAAGCACATGTTGTTCGATATCCTTTGGTTCTGAAATATTCTTAAAGTTGGTGTACTGATATCAAAACAAAAAACAAAACGATTACTAATCTTAAACTGATTCCACTACATTCAAGTTTATTGTTTTGCAATTAATCTCTAATAATATGTTAATAATGATTGGATCACAACGCATTCAACGTGAAGATAACGTTTATTCCGAAAAAATTTCAACAACTAAAAAATATTAATACGCTGAAAAAATATATTAACAAGTAAAAATGAAAAGTAGGAACGTACAGGAAGCAGTCTTTGACAACAACGGCGAATGGTTTCAGGTTTCGTCGAATCGCATCTCGTGCTTGAGAACGAGCTAAATCAAATGTTTCCGTGATAAGCGCGTTGTACTTCCGAAACTTTATTGCTCGACTTATTGCCTTTTCAATTGATTCCATTGCTTTGCAGTTTAATTTCAGATCATCTGAATATTTCAAAATACAAAATAACACTTCAGAAAATTTCACGATGAATTTTATTCGCAAATAAATTTATTTATGGATTTATTTACGAATAAATTTATGAATTCATTCGTAATTGTGTAAAAATAAAGCTACTGCCAATAACCCGTATCACAACCACTCGGATCCAAGAATTATAGAAGGAATTAAAAAACAAATCATTAACGGAACGCGATAAATCCTTCATAAGAATAAGATATTCGGTGATAAATCGTTAATATTCAATAAGTAATAACTGACGAATCGTATGGGAACAAAGATACACAAAAACAAAGTCAACTCATTTAATAATCCACCCAATCTCATTACAATCCAGAAAGTCCGCATAAAAAGTTTCATCCATATCCGAGGATAAGTCTGTCGTGTTCTGCCAACTTGTTCGTTAAGATTCACTTGCACTGGAAAGCTGGCTGAACTGGATGGTCAAGTTACGGAACGAATGGAATACAGGTTCACTGGAGAAGAAGGAATGAGAGTGATTGAGTGATGTGACCGAAAGGAATGAGAAAACAATTGCGACACAATGAAAGTTTTATGTTTCATATCATATCAGAAATGAGAGTGATGAAATATCATGGAAATCAGTCATGAAAATTGACAGTAGACTATAGTAGATGAGTTGTTACATAGAAGTGCCGAGTGGGTGTGTACCTTCTGAACGAATGTTTCGATTGGAATCTATTCTTCTGTATTCTATTCATTTTTCAGATTCTTTATTCAGTTTTTACGTCTGATTCACATGATGTCTCGCCACTCTCGACCCTTGCTTCGCTCAATCACATTGCCGTTCCTTCATGACGTGACAGTTTTCTCATTCACTTCTGATGTATCACTGATTCGCTCTCATTTATGCTTCTCCGGATAACTTAAAACATTTCATCTTCGTTACGTCGTCACATCAACGATAAAATTCGATTTCCAGTGGAATTTGCAATGTAACTACTTGCCACGTTTTTGGATGTACTCGCTATTCAGATCTTATGCTAAAATGCTGGAACCTTTCATGATCAAAATCAGCTCACTCAATTTGTGATTCACGTTTCCGAACGAAATATTTAAAAATTCTGTCCTTTGATTTTTCCACATTACGAGATAATCGACTACTTTGGCATATATGCTGTTTTGGAGTGCCCTTTCATGCAATTAAATCCATGTCATGCCACGTAGTTCCATGTCAATTGCTAGAGCATTATTGAGCATTTGATGTCATTCATATTCTCAACTGTTCATATAATTTGAATTATTCATTTATTTGCTTATATCAGTTTGCTTAAATTGGAGGGTTGTGACTGAATTACGAACAAACAATGCAACGAGGTGATGATCGAAAAAAGGCAATTCTTCTGTTCGATGTCGATGGAACATTAACAATGCCAAGACAGGTGCTTTAGAATTTCATTTCAATCATTCATCTTATCAGTAGCACCAGTAACTTCACAACGGAAACTTTCAATTTGCAATTTCTTAAACGATTAACATTATGAAGTGTATGTTGAAGCAAAGCGAGATTGATCCAGCGAAATTGCTGTCTTGAAGAAGTTTCGAAGAAGAAACTCAGGATTACGAAGAAGAGAGTATTGGAAATGAATCTGCATAAAGGAATATGCTATGAATAAACGAATGAGAATGCAAGCTCATTCACGAAATGGATGGGTGTTCACAAATGAGATATTCACGGTTCATTTCACTGAAAGTTTTCTGCTTTTAGAAGATAGATAAAGAAATGCGTGATTTTCTGGTGGAAGTTCGAAAGAGAATCCCATTAGCAGTAGTTGGCGGATCGGATTTATCGAAAATTGTTGAACAATTAGGTGACAGTCTTGACGATGGTATGTTTCTGCATTGACAGCTACTACGATTCAGTTAACACCAATTGATTGAAAGCTATCAGTATTTGGACGGATTTTGTTTCAAGATGCTTAATTTCGGAATGAAATGAGGAGCGATCACTTTTACACTCAAATGAAATCGAATTTGATTGATACGCAATAATTATTAATTGATTTATAGTCAAGGTTGTCGTGTTTATGAAGCTTTTAATTGTGTTTTGTTGTATGTGATAAGGCAGTGTTTCTTTCATTTGCAATCGATCATTTCAGTGTTAACGCGATTCGATTACGTGTTCTCTGAGAATGGTCTAGTCGGTTTCCACGATCAGAATGCGTTCCCAGTGAAGGTAAGAACACATCTTACCGAATCGCTTTCTTACGAAGTCCCGTTTATTCTTTTTGCCTCATCCTCTTCTTCACCCGTGCAATAATTATGATTTTGAATAGGGCAGTAATGTTTCTATTGTAAGAGCAAATTTCTCTTCCAAGCAAAACTCATCCGAATCGTACATTTTCAGTCAATCAAAGAGAAACTCGGT